TGCTGGTAGTGAGGGGGATGCCTTGCCCTAAGTGCCCGCTGGCTGGGCTGAGGGCAGGCCCGGGGCCTGCCCCGCCCGTGCTGTGGGACGTTCCCTCGGCGGCACCTCGCTGGGGACGGCAGCGGGGAGGCAGAGGGATCTCTCCCCTCAGCCCCGTCAGGCTGCAGCTGTGCCGGTAAAGCTAATCCAGGGTCTCTTGCCCTGCTTGCGCGCTTCTCTGAACTAGCCCTGGGTATTGGGCAGCTCTGCGGCGAGTCTCGCCAGCTGACTAATGCACCTGGAAACCGCCCTAGCAACAGGCTAATTGCTGTACGAGTAAAGGTTAATTTCGGTCTGGTCAGGGTAGCAGCCAGCTTAATGGAAGGGATGGGAAGGCAAGGTACAGAGAAGGAAGAATTGGATCAGCCTTTTTGCAGCAGCGTGGCTGAGAGCTTCATGCCGGGGAGCGGGGGCAACAAAACTTTTTAGAATGACAGCAGAGTGGTCGCGAAAGAATGGTTGGTGAGCTGGCTGCTACTTAATGGCTGTGTTTTGAATTAATCTGTTAAAGCAGGTTGTTGTTAATCAGAATAGTTATTTGATAGGTACTTTTACAGAGACATTGCAACTTGTGTTGAGACTGTTGCTTGCAGCACTGTAAAGTTATTCTAATGTTGTAGGAGTACGTTCCAGTTACAGAAGGGCAAAACTTGGTTTTTATGGCATCAGACTTACATAATGAATATATATTTCTATAACAATGTTTTTTGAGCTTGGTTGGTTCTGTGCATCATTGAAATAACTGTATTGATGTGTGAATAGATCAGCTAAATAAACTTGATATACTCTAGATAGTAAGAAATGTTATGTAAACCACTAGTTATATACAAAATGCTATCACCATCCAAAAGTCTGCTCCAATGTGTCCTTCAGGTACAAGCCAAGGTCTTTCTATGTGATAGCTCTTAAGGAAGGATTTTTTTTGATGAACAGTTCTTGGCATAACAAAATGCCGTAATAAAGCATCTTCTGAGTTAGTTTTTTGTAGGACTAATGAGTTGAACTGGCTCATGAGAGACTGGAGAAGTGCCAGAGTATGTGTTCAGTACACAGGAAGAGTGTGGGGAATACGGAATGGCAACTTTTTCCTTCTGATGGCAGGACTGTTACAACCTTAGTTTGTACAGTCCTTGGGTTAATCATACAGCTGGTTTACAACTTGCATATTAATGGGACAGAGGTTGGCTTGGTTCTTGCAGTTGACTTTCATGTTTCTTTAAAAATACGGTTTTGTCAATGAAGTAACACAGAGAGTATTTGACTGTGATAATTGTCACAGATGGCATCTTGAGGCATTGGTTTACTTCCCTCACCTTTCCAAGTAAGGGAATGAAAGCATGTCTTCTAGCAGCTATGTTGTTTATTGTGAAATCTGAGGGTTTTTCCCACTTGGGCTTCTTAGAAATCTAGGGCTGAATGGAACCTCAAAATACCATCTCAGTAAGCTGAGCTTACTGAACTGAGGCACAATCACATTTTGGTAGACAACTGCTGGTAGATGTTTGTCTAACATTCTTAAAACTTTACTCTGGTATTCACATCAGTGGCTAGTGTCACTTGTCTCAATTAAATAGACCCAGGCCTTTAACTTCTTGTTTTAGAATCATAGAATCATTAAGGTATGTAGGGTATGTTTTCTAACCCTATTCCTATTTACGGAGTAGTCCCGGTTTTTGATCATCTTACATCTGTTTCTGGGGTTGAGATTCAGTCTGTCAGAATGGGAATATCCAGGAAGTTTCTATTCCCTGTTGGCCTTGGTTAGGTGCAGGGTTGTAAAGTGGGAAAGGGAATGATGAGTGCTGTAGGTCCAGTCATTTGTAAATAACCAGATTCAGGAATAGCAGGCCTGTACCTGTTTGTTTGGAGAAATTTGTTTTTTTCCTCCCATGTAAAACAGTGACTGGTGCCCTTCTGGCTGACCAACAGCTCCTGGTTCCAATGACCTTCCCCTCTTCTCCCACAGAAAGTCTTTATCATGTTGGGCTCTGGATTCAAGGCTGAGCGCTTGCGAGTCAACCTGCGCCTTGTCATCAATCGCCTCAAACTACTGGAGAAAAAGAAGAGTGAGTATTTGAGGGGGCAGGTGTGACCCAGGATGCTTTTGGGGCTCAGGAGACTTGAGGAGAAGATTTTTCTGGAGTCAGGGTACTTTCATGGGCTGAGTATGGAGTAGCCTTTTGCTTTTCCTTGCTGGACACAGGCCTTGCAGTCCGCCCCGGTATGCGAGCACCCAGAGGAGCAGGCTGGCCACAACGTGGCCTCTGTCCACCTTCCTTGCAGGTGTCAGAGTGCAGTTTATGGGGTGGTAGCTGTGGGCCGTGTGTGGAGGGACATGCCAGTTTGCCCTGGGGGGCTTTTCCTGGGCTTTCTGTGCCCACAGCATAGTGGGGAACTTCCTGGGTGCTGTGGGAGGCTCTCCCCCACCTGTGCTGTCCTACCCAGACACAGGTAGTATCCATGGTTCTGATTGACTCTGCAGGGAAGTTGAAGGTGTAGGAGCGTTTCTAGCAGCTAAAAGCCCACTCTCCTTTCTCCCATGAGTTAGCGTGCTAGGACCTAGACACAAGGGCTCCACCAAAGCATGGCTCTCTGCGCTGCAGAGACTCGATGAAGGAGAAAGAGAAGCTCATGATGGCTTTGTGCGTGGTGGGGACTGTGGGCAGGTGCAAAGGCAGCAGCCCCTGCCAGCACAGTGACTGGCCTTGGGGATATGTGCTGTAGCTGAGTTGGCCCAGAAGGCAAGGAAGGAGATTGCAGATTATCTGGCATCCGGAAAAGATGAGCGTGCCAGGATTCGTGTGGAGCACATCATCCGTGAAGATTACCTTGTGGAGGCCATGGAGATCCTGGAGCTGTACTGCGATCTGCTGCTAGCCCGCTTTGGCTTGATTCAGTCCATGAAGTAAGCTCTGGCCTAGAGGGTATGCTGTGGGAGAGGGTCCAGGCCCCCTGGGCTCAGGGAGGGGTACTGCTGGGGGCAGGCCTGGGATACAGAAGGGCACTTGTTTGTCTCAGTGCCCTAGGGCCTCCAGAGAACTTTTCTTCCCCAGGCAGGGAAGTCTCTGGAGCCCAGCATGGAGGATGGGGACTTTCAGGCTAAGCAGATTGAGGGCAGCAAAGACTAGCTGCTTGGTGCGGAGATAGGATTGTCTTCTGTTGTCCTTAGGGAGCTGGACTCTGGCCTGGCAGAAGCAGTATCTACACTGATTTGGGCTGCACCACGACTCCAGTCGGAAGTGGCTGAGTTGAAGATTGTGAGTAGGGTTGTTTGGGGGGTGTTACACATGGAGGGTGGGTGTGATGCTGCCAGAAGCTGGTGGAAGCCTTTGTCTGGGACTCTGTGTCATCAAGGCAGAGGACATGTTTTTATGGGCTCTGCAGATGGAGACCCCAGCATAGGCATCCCTGGAGCATCAGGGATGGCTAAGGCTGCTCAACTGGGGCACTCAGTGGCAGAAATGACGGGGGGCTACAGCAGATGTGCAGTGTGTGGTGGGGGAAAGCAAGGGTGTGCATGTTCCCAGAGTTTCTCTCCTGCTGCAGGTTGCTGACCAGCTGTGTGCCAAGTACAGCAAGGAGTATGGGAAGCTGTGCCGGACAAACCAGATTGGAACAGTCAATGACAGGGTAATGACCTGGTGGAACCGCTGCAGCCAGCTGGAGCTCGCAGAACAGACATGCCTGCTGTGGCTCTCTGCCCCTTTTTCCTGTGGCCAGTGGCTGGTGGCCGTG